CACAAAGAAAAAACTTTGAATCGCAACTGAGACTTCTTGTCCTACCCTCCTCTGCTCTGTTTGTTTTTCTTTTCTTTTCTTTTTTTTACAAGAGTAATTATTAAAAAATTAGTATAAATTAATTGTTAACAACTAAGAATTTGATTTTTAGACCGAGTAAACATTTTATCGTTTCAAATGAAACACGCGACCATCAGGCCACTTTTGATGAAGTTCACAACGGAAGGGCAACCAACTAAACCGGGAATTAGAAGGGTGAATTTGCGGGCAGAGATCAAGAGCTCGCCATTGTTTGGGTCCGTTAAGGAGGTTGTCATCCGGTTTGGTGGTACCGCTCCTTTGCTGCCACGCTATAAGTCATATGCAAGTGCGTGCACTCTATTTGTCTGTGGTTTTGCCCAACAGAACAGAGCTATGCTTTATTGGAATGGATATTAATTCTCTATATTTCTAATTGTTCGTCTTTTCTTTAAATTGTAGTAGTACTGCGTTTTGTTTTGTACCGAAAGATGGATTCTGCCGTACTTATCATTATTACGATTGTCTTCATAGTCATACCCCAATCGTCTATTGAGTTGAGAAAAAAAGCAACTTCATTCCTATCTACTTAGAAAGAAGGATCTGATGGTTAAAGAATTGGAGACACTTGATGCCCTGGATGGAAGAACTGGGAACGACAATAAGGATTGTGGAAGAATTGAAGCAATAGCTGCGGAAGGAAGCATTGAAATGTCAAATGCATGGCATACGGATAAGCAATTCTCGATCTCAATCCACCCTGCCATCTAAGAAATGAACAAGGAACATTATGAACAAGTAGCAGGGAGTTCCAGTTCGTGCCCTGCTTCTTCCCTTTGATTTAATTATGTCTTTTCAGTTGAGTGAACACAAAGTAGTAGGTACCCCTGCTCCTCAGTCTTGTTTTCCTTTGACAGGTAGATAATAGAGCTGGCCTTTTACCCTAGCTAGCATCATATCTGGTTGAAGGTGGTTCATCAGAGATCGATATAATTGTAGTGTAGTACTTAATTTCTACTTTACTTCCAGAATTTGAATGCTGCTGCTACATCTGTGCTAACTTTAACTAAGTGTCTCGATCGGAAGTCAGAACAAACCTCATTCAGACCAGCTATCTTCCCCTACTTCTTTATGCAAGTAGATGTGGGGGCTTGGTTGAACTTGAAAGGCTAGCTTGGATATGTTGTTAGACTGGATTTGCCAGTTGACATAGGTGAAGGTAGAAATCAAATCAGAGACTGGGATGGAGATCCAACGTATAGCCGTTCAACAAAGGAGTTAACCAATAACAGAGTCTGACTGGATATATTATATTGAATCTTTGGTCACGGAATTAATTGAAATACGTAGGTGCACCAGAGGAAAATGTTAGTCATTTGTACAAGGTTGCTAAAGCAGTTACGAGTTAAGTAAGTTACTAAAAGCAGACACATTAGGTATATATAATTATCTTACCTCCTGCAGAAGATTGCATAGAAGTCATTTATATATGTATCAACACATCAACCCTCTTGGTACTTAATTCTTTGTGTGTACGTATTTAGCTTAAAATTGCTCCAAGGCATGGATTAGCTAGCACCTTTTTTTTTTTCTTAATTTATTTTTCTGTAACCCTGTTTCTGTATTTACTCTATTGAAGCTGAAGCTATTGGGAGGAGCATAATTGATATGGATGGAAATTAAGCAAAATACCCATAGAATAACAAGCCACCATTCAATGGAAACAAAACACAGATAAAGTTCCAAATATGAAAAGACATTAACATGCTAAAAATGCTTAAAGTTCATTTGAAATGTATACACAAAAATTAGCCACTTGGCTTCATCACCAAACTTGAGATTCCAATTCCGTGCCTTTTAAACCAATCAAGAGATTCCCTAACTTTGATCTCATGCACGTTACGTTGTTTATTGTCTATATATACCAAGAAATAATAAATCAAATTCAAAAGGTGTCATAATCTGTTTGGCTTTGTTGAGTATGTATTACACTCACCCAAGATGCTTTCCAGATTTTTAAGTAGGATATGTAGATGAACTTAGAGATGTGCATGCAGTCATTTTCCAGAGGCTTTGGAAAAATCTTGCAGTTGCTATCTTCCCCACACCCCGCCCACCCCCCTCCCCCTTTTTTTTTTTTTTTTTTCAAATAACCAGAAACTTAGAAAAGTAGCTTTTTAGGCTTTTAGCGAACCAAAAAAGTCAGTGAGGCAGCACTTGAGCCTTCAGGTCCAGTAGCGTCAGGTCACGTATAAGTGTATTTTTTCACCCTCAGAATAACGATTCGAATCCGACCCCTTGCGAATTTGTTTAAAAAAAAAAAATCAGTGAGCAGGCGAAATAGTCACAAGAAGCATGGTAGATATAATAGTCTAGTCCAAGGTAGTAAGTACCGTACTATACCATCTAGCAAGGTTTTCAAAATCGAATTGGAGGTCAAATCATTTTGATTTCTGATTCACGATTTTAACGGTTGAACCAATTTAACTAGATAAAAAAATGAGTTGATTGAATTTTAGAAGCATATGTTAAATATAATATAATGTAATTCTTTGCGAAAGGAAAGAAGTTGCTCTAGTGGTTGAAACGCTTGTCTCTGTTATATAGAACTAAAGTTCAAATCTTAAATGTGTTAAATTTATTCATTTATATAATTTTATTATAATAAATAAATCTTAAGACAAGAAAAACCAATAAACTTGATTCAGATAAGGTGGAAGAAGTTATTTTAAATATATGAAAGGGCAAGTGTTCAAACATCGTGATAATAACTATGAGTATTTCATTTAATCTTGTAATATTCTTTAAAATATAGCTTTTGTTACTCATATCGTGAAAAGTTCAATGGCTCTAGTGGTAAAAGAGTTGTCCAAACCTAAGGAGGTCTCATGTTCGAGACCTAATGACAGCAACAAACTCTGCAAATTTTGTTTAAATAATTGGATGGTTTTTCGATTCTTATCGGTTTGGACGGTTTTGAGTGGTTTAACCTCATAAATGGTTTTAAATATAACCCGAGCCATTTCCATTACAAGTATCAATCCGATCAATTCAATCGGCCCATCCGATTTGGTTTTCAAAGCATTGCTGGCTAGTACGATTGGCACATACCGATTGCTGAAGTGGATCGAAACAAAATAAGTTAGAATTCTATTTCGATCAAATTTTGACGTATCGATTGAAATTTTGTGTATCGGTTGGTATACCAAAATTGGATAGGTTCATTGTGTAAGAATTAAAAAAAAAAAAAAAAAAAAGGATTCCCTACGTTTTCGCTAGGGACAGCTTCTTCTTGACTCGAACCCTACAATTTCAGATCATACATCTAGATCTCTCCTCTGTTCTCTAGCATCCAACGATCCTTGAGGCTTGGGCTCTACTTCTCACAGGTGGTCCAACGACTCCAACTGTTGTTGGCAATTTAGCTTCAACCACTGCTCTCTCTTCCACCACTCTCTAACAGCCCAATTCCATCTCATGTATCTTCACATTTTCATTTCGAGGTTACTTTTGCTATTGATATGCATACATATCAACTTTGTAGGACAATCTCTTAAACTTAATCGAGTGAAAAAGAGAAAAAAAAAAAAAAAAAGTTCCCTCATCAACCAAACAAAAATTTCGATTGTGTTTTTGTCAATAATAAGTATTGTCAACATAACAATGTTAGCTATTCTAGATTTGGATTGGATCTCATTTGCTTTCTTTTTTTATTACAATTGACTATATCAGTGTGCATCTACCAAAATCTTGTTTCAAACTTATGGTATTACTGTGTTAGGAACTAATGTCGTACCTTTTATTTTTATTAACTCAAAAGGTTTTTCTAAATCTTTTCCTAATTACATTAATTTTTCTTATAATTATTTTAAATTTTGATATTTAATTTATAAAAATATATATTTATAATAATGAATCCAAAACAATATAAAAAAAATTTAATATTCGATACATATTATTTCAATAGTAAAAACAATACATATATCAATATGATATTGACTACTTTGGTTTAGTCTCTCAACTAGATGGACAACTTCACTTTCATAAGTAAAGTGGATGGGATCTTTTGATTCTTTCCCCAACCCACACAAATGAGATAATTGGAAACAGATATATAACCAACTTCTTCTTCTTGTACTTTCACCTCACATCACCTTTCACCACATTTGTCCATTTTGGACCATTCAAAGCCTCACCACACGGAATTTGTGGGTCCATTTTTTTATATATGCTTTCATTTTTTTTTCGTTAATTTTTCCATTAATATTAATTAATATTTTGGTTTATTACAATCTAAAATATATCATATTGTAAATCACCAATTATTAAATGAAGAGGCCCTCGAACAACCCACTCCGACTGAGTAATATTAGATTTAAAGTTATTAATACCGTATTGTATGAATTGATATGATTAGTATGTACCGATTTTCACATTAAACTAAAATGGTACATGATCCAATTCGGACAAGTTTTGGTTGTCAGCCGGTATTTCAAGTATTGATTGGTACATAAAAATTTTTTGTTACAATTCAATTCAAATTTAAAAAGAGTAAATTTTATTTTTGGTCCTCAACTTTAATGTTTTATGTAATTTTCATCTTTTAACTTTTTTATGTACTTTTTCAAGTCCGTTCTTCGTTTTTTTTTTAGTTCTTCTATCAATTACTCCATTAAATTTGTCTAAATATATTCATTTTTAATCCCTTAATTTAAAGTAGATGGACGACAAATATGCA